CCGCCCCAACCAAAATGTTTTAAAAACCAGTTGTTCCCCCCCAAAAAAAAAAGACATACAAGGATGGGTGTTTCCCCTCCCACAATTTAGTTCTTGTCGGGGCCCAGCTCCCCTTAGGTTTTTTTTTTTGCCCCCCCTTCTTTTGGGCCTGCTTTTCGCATTTCCCCCTACTTACCCCCCCCCCCCCCCCTTCTTTCCACTCTGGCCAGATAGACCCATCGACCTGGACTTCAAAAGGCGGCCGGCCTCTTCTCACTGGCCCGTCTCTATCTTCTACTACCCCCTCCGCTTCCTAGTGGCAAGCAAGCGCTGGAGGGCTTGTTTTCATTGGAGGATTGAGGAACTAAGTTATTTGTTGACTAAAACAAAAGGAATTGTGTAGACAATGTTGGGGGGGGGTTGGTTGATTACTACTATGTTGGAACCTTTTCATTTATACAAGACTGAGAAAGTGTTTACTCGCTTTAAAAAGCCTGCGTTCTTCTTCTTTCTTTCTTTCTTTTTTCCTCTGTTTCTTCATCATCATGATAACCATATAATGCCCATACTTCCACATGTAGAACGGAGAGCAAAAAAAAAAAAAAAAAAGGTGGGGGGGGAGGGGGGGGGGGGAGAGAGAGCACGTCTACTTCCCAAAGTTCAACTGGCATACATTACTCACAGACGGAATCTTTAAGGAAGACCATACCCCGATAACCCCACTCCTTTCCCTTATCCAGCATTCATTATATGTATATGTGCTGGCTCTTGAACCACCTTGACAGATATCAATCAATCCTGATAAACATGTTCATTATCATGCTGAAATCATATACATTGAAGGGCATGTTAATGATATCCATCGGTGTGAGGGGGAGGCTACTAGCCATGGAGCTTGGCGTGCAACGTCAAAACACAGAGGATCCTGGCTGAAATTCCCATTGCATCCCGGAATGCAGGGATGAATGCCTTACCTTTTAGGTAGGTACTTAAAACAGTAGAGCATGAGATTCTGGGATGAATCCGTATAGAAGGCGCAGGCGCATCTCATTGGGGTAAACAATAGTATACGTTGCGTCCTGCACAATGCCTTTCTCTACAGGAAGCCGAAGATAGAAAACTGAGGGGGAAAACATAGAAAGAAGATCGAAAAGAAAAAGAAAAGAAAAACATCGTAGAAACAACCGATAAAACATGAATGATTAGCTTACAATAGAAATGCAGCCAATGCGAGAGAAATAAAGCTGATATCATATACTGAACAAAAACTCCACTGAAGCACGGCATCAATCATCTTCAAAATATGTAGATGTTGGGCTAGACGGAATAAAAACAGTGGCGGTTACGAATATTTTGTAGGGAAAAGGGAGAAAAGAAGAAGAAGAAGAAGAAGAAGAAGAAGAAGAAGAAGAAGAGGAGCACGAAGTGAAGATGGCAGGAAAGTCGTTATAGTGGCGTGTGGGGATGGGGGTAGTGTAATTCTTGAACGCTACATTTTCGAACAACATTGTCGTATTTGTGTGTCATATCACATGGTAGAAATTGAATTGTATCAACATCTAGCATTGAGCTCTTGTGGCACCTATCTATAGTTCCACCCGTCAGTAATGTATCTATAATAGTCATGCCATCAAGTAGTGAAAAAATATTGACAGCACATTCATGCAAAAGAGGCAACGGCCGATCATGATGATGATGATTTATTTTCTCCATAGTGACCAATGATAAAGCAATACGAGGCATAAGATGAAAGAAAAGGGGAAAACTTTACAAATGCTCTTATCCACCTTTAATTTATATTATCATTATTTTCCTTGTGGTATATTTATTTTTCTAACCTGTTTGACCTGCTGCTGTCGCTGTTCCACCAGCGTTTCCTGTAGTTGAATGAACTGTGATTCCAGATGTTGACCAGCACACTGGTAAAAAAAAAAAAAAAAAAAAAAAAAAAAAGTTAGCGAAGAAATATCATACGCAAAGTTAAGGGAGATGAGAAGCTGGGGTGGAGCGCAAAGGTGTACATCCACAAAGTTTATCTTTGCGGGGATGTAGCTATTCGGCGCCGGTCCTATCTCACAAACCGGCAGAACAGAACAACACAAAAGTAAACAAAATAAAGGTGTAGAGATTATATTAGAAATAGAGGACATACCCTTGGCTAATATCCTTATACTGCTCGTCATTCAACTCTTTAACACCAACCTTCATCCCACCCCGTGACATCGTGACGTGTTTCTTCTCCATCTCCTTCTTCGTCTGGGCCTTAACGGCCATCATGACGCTCCATGTCACGAAGCCAATAACGGCGAGGATGCCAACGACGATGAGCAAGATTAGGAGCGGGATTAATCGATTTGATGCCATCGGGGTTATCCGGTTATATGTCCGCTCCCTTTTTCTTTATTTTTATTTTTATTTTTATTTTTTTTATAAAAAAAACCCCCCTTTATTCGTTTGGGTTGGGTTTGATGGTTTGAATGATTTGCGAGTGCGTGGCTGAGCTGTGGTGGCAAACAGTCAAGGGAAATAAAGAAAATGATTTAACTGGCACGTGCCGGTGACCGCGTGCTGTGTAGAGCCGACGGCCGATTAAGTGTGGAGAAATGCGAGCAGAGAATACAATGGGGGATTGCTTGATCGAAGGGTATCTGACTGAGCGGAGACGGGGCCCAGGACATAGGGGTGGGAAAAATGAAAAGAGACTTGTTTGGATCAGAGTGGATTGATTGTTCTTTTGGTTCAGAGATGAGGTCAGAAGAATGCGGCGAGGTGTAACTTAGCTTCGGTGGGAAAAGAAAAGGATGTTTGGAAGCTTAATAGGCAATAAGCGAGGTTTTGGTTGGTGAATGGCGGCTAGCTGTGGAGGCGAAGGAAGGACTCAGAAAAGGATAGTTAGTTACAGTGGAAGCGGCGCTTGGAGTTGATATATGAATGAATGCGCAGTCTTCCTGTGGGAAAGAAGAAGAACATTTGGGAAAGAAAGGGAGACAGAATTGCTCATGAATCCTTAGCCAGCGCCTGGGGCTGGGTTGAAGCGTAGCATTCACGAACATGATGACGCCGGGTGAGGGGGTGAGCCAGTCATGTTCAAGGAATCGTTTCAGCCTCGTACCTTTTCTTTGCGCCAGTGGTTTAGCGGATGCAAAAAAGGTGGGCATAGGGCTGGAGGATTGTGAGCGGAACATGGCGAGATTGTATGGGGATCCTGGTCGAGATAATTGCTAACTTTCTATGATTCTCCTCTAGCAGACACCATGACTCGATTTGCTGTTAAAGGAAACCTGGAAATGGGACAGACACACACATACAAAACACCTCTATCCTTGTGCTTACATTACAGGGTCTGAAGAATCCTTGATGGTCAGCCATGTTGCCGGGCATGGCTGGTAACAACAGCCTTATTTGTGGGGGGGGGGATGTCAATGTCTGCACTGTCTGCAGTCGGCGAATCTGCTGCATCATCTCAGTGGCTTGTCGCCCCCAAAACATGTTAAACTCGTTTGCTGTTGAGCCACAACGTGGTCAGAACTTACAAGACACAAGGGGGTAGCGGGTGAGGGTCCTTGCTGAAGAAGCAATTAAACACCAAGAGTGATATATGAGTTGCGAGGGGTCTTGGGTTGTTCATTTGGAACCCACAATATCCTTGTTGACCAAAACTTGATACAAGCAGACAGACAAGACAGGCTGGCTGGGCTTTGCAGTAAGTACAATACATTGATGCATCTGAGGACGGATAGCGCTAAAAGTGCTCGCTTGGCGCCCAGGGTTTAGGCATCGTTAGGGCAGACAGGTGCCTAGAGCCCTTGGGCACGCGGCCAACGGCGAGGGACTTAAAAGGATCGCCATCATGTTCCTGTTCTCTTTCTTCGTGTCATCAAATGACTCCCTCTTGTGGTATTCTGGCTGTGGGCTCCGGAGGGTATCTTGTCACCACTTTAAATACTTGAGCGAGTACCTGGGTTGGTGGTTTTAACAATCAATTCTACACATTTACTCGATCTAGGAAGATACCAACAATGGCGCCCACGAACTCCGAGCCAGTTTACTTCTGGAAACCAGAATCAGAGAACGGCTATCTGGGTCAATGGTATCCGTCAGAGTTTACTTGGGACAGGAATCTTGATGACGAGTCTTTTATACGTATAGATACATGATGCACCAAAAGGGCCTCCTTTTCGCGCCAGACGACCCCGTCACGCACCAGATTCTCTCACAGGACTCCACACCACCCCATCCCGCAGAGCTCAGGAGCCTAGGCCGGCAAATTCCCGACTTCGACGACGCAGTGTGGAAGAAACATCGCTATAAGATCGTCGTCGAGGGCAATTACCTCAAATTTACTCAGGACCCTCAGCTCAAAGCAAAGCTTTTGGCTACGAGGGACAGGGAACTGGTGGAGGCCAGTCCGCGGGATCGGATATGGGGTGTGGGGTTCGGGGCGAAGAATGCTGGCGTGAGGAGGAAGAACTGGGGTTTGAATTTACTTGGAAAGGCGTTGATGGAGGTAAAGGAACGGATTCGAAAGGAATTGTTGGAAGAAGAGGAGCTGGCGATTGGTGGTGGTGGCGGTGGTGGCGGTGGAGAGAAGGCTGTGTAGTAAATACATGCTCATGGCTAGGGTTGTTAGGCTTTCGCCGCCGTCATATTTGAAGTGATAGTTATCTCCCAAGAACCGACAATACCCCGAAAGGAGATACTTTTACCTTTGACGAATCCTATGATCTTGCTTTGGGTATATTTATGCTATTGTGGACTATAGTTATATATATTTCTACTCTGCTGTACGGACCACGGAGTGCAGTCGACTAGTTATTTTAAATAAGCTGGAAAATCAACTTTGAATTCAATTCTCGCCCAACCTGACAGTCAACCTCACTCACCCTCATACCATACCTCATATCAATTCCCGTCATCGAAAAACTCACTCCCTCCCATGTTCAACCCAGAAAACATCGGAGTTTCGCATCGGAGTTTCTTTCCTTCCCGGATGTTAGTTACGGAGCACATACTAACTAACGAATGGCTCCGGGTCATAATGTTCCAACACTGTCAAGCTTTCATCAACGTCATACTGACCCCCATTGTTCCCAGAAATAACTTACCTTATAAAGTGTGCCAAAACTAAGTTAACAAAAGATATAATTACATATGATACCTAGCGAGGTCCCCTCAAACCCAAGCAAAGGCTTCTTAAGGAGAAAAGAAATCTCACTCGTGCTATAAACCAATATTTTTTTTTCTTTTTTCTTTTTGAACCACGTCCATTTAGTGCGAAGCAAAACACCTGTCCGTCCTTGCCTCCCCACCATGTTTTTTTGGATACCATTTCCGCTTTGCTTCCAATTCGGAACAGACCAGAATCCGTGTCGTTGCAAAGTAGTTGGTCCGACTTTAGGTATGTCCCCGACGCGCAAGTGCTATCATTTTTCTTGAAATATTTGTTTGTTGAGTGGGAGGGAGATATTTTGTGCCCTCTATATCCTTTATATTCGCTATCAATTATTTCTCTAATGCCCTCATATCATTATAGGGTTCCTCACGACTATCTTAAGTGCTGTGCGTGCAAATATCTAGGCGAAGCACCCTCTTTTTTTTTTTTGTTGCTACTCGAAGGAGCAAAATGTGGTGGAGTGGTTTGTTATTTTTACAATGCATACAAATGACATATCTAACCTGGTTTTTAATCCTCATTTATTTTATATGCAACAACAGATCGTGCTGTGGCCTGCATCACTCTTTTGCGGGTGCTGGGCTACCAAGACCGGGACCCAGTGCGTACTCCCTCTTCCCCCTTTTCCCTCCCTCCCTATTTTGCTCTCCATCTGCTCATTAATTTGGTGTCGTATGTATTAACCTATCTCGGTTGCAATGTTCACAGGCTTCTCGGGGCTCCAGTGGAGTGGAACGGAAAAGTCAACCAGGCCATCCCATTCTGATCAGGGGCGTTCGAACGGATGTATATTCATGTGGAACCAGTTAGGTATCAGAATTATGCTGCATGTTAGATGGTTGATATTTGCGCATGAAAAAACTTTCAATGCATAGATAGTGTGCATTGATTTTATAAGGACAAATTCAACCTTTCTTTTCTTTTGGGGATATTGTGAATTTCTCTTTGAAGATATTTTGTTGTCTTTCCACAAGGGTTTCAGATGATAACTAAATATATTCTGAATACATTCTTTTCCTATGGGATTTCTCTTATCACTTAACTGCAGCAATTTCAGGTTCAGTAAGTCTTGAACATATCAATCATATCAACATTTTGACACAGCACATCCTAGATTGACTGCCAACATGTTCTATGAAGTACCTCTTCAATCTGAGCTGGATTGGAATTGAATTTATTCTGATTCAAGTTGAGGTACTTTTTTACTGTTCACTACACAGCACACAGGAACAACACACAAAATGAGCCAGTGCTCAGTGCTGATGTTAAGCCTGCTACTTGACATGACATTGCCAATGAATTCTTGTGAATGCAATGGTGAAAGGAAGGAAGGAAGGAAGAAGGGAAAGTCCTGTGTGGAATCCCACAATCTCTCTCTTTCTCTTTCTCATTCTCATTCTCATTCTCCTTTTCTCCCTCCTATCCCACTCCTTCCTCTTCATCTAGCTACCATATGCTTATTGACATTTCGAATTTGCCCTGCTTGTGTCCTTTTACTTTCTATATTTTCTATCTCTGCAATCAAACTGCAAATACTTACCTTTTCATGTCCCATTGTGGCATCCAATATACCTGCCTGCCTCGATCATGGATGATAATACCCTACAAGAGCTCTGCCGAGATGAATTACTGAGCCCTGATGACTTCGACGACGAAGAAATGGAACTTCGAAATGAACTGGACGAAGGACTGAGGGCTGCAGTCTCTACATATAGCGACGCACCTTATGGAAGCATAGATTGCGTGATTTTTCGCCTGCGGGAGCTACACCTCAAAATTACGCTGAGCCAGTTGGATTGGCGCGTATGTACGAAGAAATACAGCGATATCGATAGGGATGATCCCACATGGACCAAGCTGGAAAACCACTACACCGCCGAGCAGAATCTATTCATCTCAGAGCGGATGCGACTTGGTAGAGAACTGTGGCACCTCTTTCAAAAGGCTGAGCATAAAGCTGCTTCCGAAGCAGCGTACAGGACAAAGACGCAGAAAAATAAAGCGAAGGATCTATTCGTGTTATTGATGAGAGAAATAACTGTGGAGGAGAAAAGGATGTTTTTGGAGGCTATGGAAAACGTGTACAGTCTTGAGGGCACACCCAGTGAAATCTGGAGCCCTGTCACGGGCAGGACTCGAAAGGCGGACTTGAGCGCAGTACATATCTTTCCCCCACAGGTCGGACAAGACAACCTGGGGATGGTCTTCGGGGACGGATTCGATGTCAGTATCCACGGAGCGGAAAACGGGCTTTTCTTACCACCCGCCGTCAAACATGCGTTTCAGGACTACCAGGTTACAATAATCCCAGACCCAGTCGCAGCTCGTCCTCACAACTACAAGTTTGTAGTCCTCGACCCGAAAATTTTACGCCTGAAGGTGAATGGGGAAATGACATTCAATGATTTGAATGGGCGGACACTCGTTTTCAAACCGGGGTGCGACCTCAGACCGAGCCCACAATTTATCCGCTTCCATTGTGCGGTGGCTGTACGGATGGCGATGCAGAAATGCGGGCTGTCCAACGAAATGCCAAATGGGGTGTTTTCAGAACTTGGAGGGGCATGGAAGGATCCAACTACGTTGATAGAGGAGGATTTGCTTGTTGGGTTCATCGAGGCGTTCGAAACGTATCGAGAGGTTCGTGAGAAGAACTTGGCAGCAAGACAGGTTGTTGCAAATAACATTGTCGTGCCAAAAAAGCGAAGTATTGGCGAATAGAGAGAGCCTTGGATTATGGACAACTTGAGGGTCCCGAGGGGGGGAAGCGGGTTGGTTCTTATCACTTGGAAGTTTAATTGTTTCTTAGTCCGTTGTATTATTTTGTCTTTCTCTTTCCCTGCCATTCCCTTTGGTTAGAAATACCTCGATAAGTGGAATGCATTCAATATTCCTTTGTTAAAATCGCGTTGGACCTCAAGTTAAACATAGACAAGGTTGATGATAACCGACGGAAGATTACACCATAACACAGTTTATTACGCACTAAGAATTCATGAAGACAGAACAGACATTTAAATATTAGCCAAAATGCCCTGCTAAATAATAGTAATAAGAAATTTTGAATACGAATGAAATAACTATAGATATGGAAGAACCAAAAGCAGCGTGGCCAACATTTTAATGCGCAAGCTCACCAATAATAGTAAATTCGTAGCGTATCAATATCCGTGCGCCCCCTCTGTCGGTCCCTAAACAAGTAACCTACATGGGCTACCCAGTTTCAACCGACGGAGCCCAGGGTTCGCATACCCCGCCGCCTTCTGTCGCTCATAGCTAACCATGCGCAGCCGTTGACTCTCCCTCGGCGTCAGCTGCAGGTAAATCTCGACGCCAAAAATATGCAAAAACAGCGCCAGCCACAGTGCCAGTCCGAACGACAGGTTGAGATTTGCACCAATCTGTGCGGGTTCCATGCCGTTATCATCCGCCTTGACGATCGCGACGGGGTCGTAGCCCGGCAGCAGTTTTGCAGGGTCAGGCAGCGGCGCACACATGGGATACGCGGCGAGATAGGAGACGGGGATCTTGTAGAACTGCCAGGTGAAGTCGATCTTCTCGCACGGCCAGACCTCGTAGTACGTGCCGAGCTTGCTGACGATTCTGGAGATGATTTCCAGCAGCGGGTGGATGGTCACGATGCTGCCACATGTAGAACATGGCGCGCCGGCGTTGGAGATGAGGAGTAGGACGACGATGATGTAGCCGTTTATGCGGTGGAAGAGGATTACGCGGTGGCGGATTGAGGGGATGAATTGGTAGATCACGAGAATTTCGCAGGGGAGGATCGTGCCCAGGTGGAGGATGAGGCCGACTTTTCTGAAGCCGGTGTGTTGGTTGAACCACTCGCCGGGGCTGCTATCGCTGGCATATCGTCCGGTGATGTCGAGGTATTATAGGCGTGCAAGGGTGAAGCCGAATAGGCCTCCGGCAAATATGAAGAAGAGGATGAAGTTGTAGGACTTTGTAAAGCCCAGGAGCCCAAGGATGGATTTCCAAACAGCCATTGTGAAGCCAAAAAAGGGGCAATTAGGAGGAAAAAAGAACTTTGTTTACATAATTATCAAATGGCATATTTGAATACCTAGGCTCATATGAGGTTATACTTCGCCTCAAGGACTCCATGATAGCAGCAATCAGAAATATATACACAGCTATATACGCAAGCAGCAAAAGCCCCCTGTGAAAGAATGTGATATCGCATCCCTTCCGACACGCATATTGAACCGACTCCCGTTACCAAACCCCCTGTGTGGCTCAAGCATTTCCAAAGGCCAAGTCAGCGGGATAAGAGTTCGTAGAATTCCTGGCGGAAGGTAGCTGCCTCATCAGCCAATTAGTTTAACCGCAAATAATCGTCAGTAGAATGATTATACGAAAGATGCCTTAAACGAGACGTAGGCAGTAGTATGCCTTCGAGGAAAAAAAGCCTCTGCTCCAAAAATGGCAAAAAGAGTGCAAGACCGGGGAAATGAGAAAAACGAAAGCAATGAATGATCACTCAATCGTAATCACAAGAATCTGTGCAGGAGGGAGGATTTCCGCATTCCTGCCAATGAGCTTGGAGAGGAAGTGAGCCCATCTGAATACGAGAAGAGAAGCGGTGCATCTCAAGCGGATTGGAGGTTAGTGGGAGGGAATCGTGATGGCTTCTCATTGCACATCTCTGGTTCTAGGAGAGATAACTTTTTGATTTATTCATACGAATGGCTGAATCTAACGTCCGCCTTGAACGCGACGGCATCGCGAAGATGAAGAATTGGCGGGACGTTGTCATGTTGCGGGACCCACAAACCTTAAATTTAAAAATAGTCACTAGCAAAGAGCTTAAGATAAATAGTTAACTCTAATATCATAACTAACTAACCGGGTAACTACGGGTTGATTCTCGACTTGCAGATCATAGTCAACCCGACCCAGATTCCGTATTTGGATACATATTCGTGCTCGGCTCGAATATTTGTCCGGAGACCTGCACCGAAATTGCAGGGCGGCCCATTCTCCATCCTGGAGGCAAAACTTGAGGAGTCGTAGAGGCATTGAAAAGGGTTTTTGGGTGGGTTGTTGCTTTTTGCGAAGAAGATGGTTCCTTTCATGCGTATAGACAACTACAAACTGGATCAATTATTTATGCACATGCGAATACTTGAAAGAAAAGAAGACAATGTAAATCAATGTAAATCAAAGGGGAGAAACCGGCAATGGAGCTAGAATTAAAATGATAAAAGAAAAATGAACAGTTTAGAAAAAAAAAAAAAAAAAAAAAACAAGCAGACCAAAAAACGGGTATATAATTAAGCAAACATCCAAAAGCCTCTAGACGCCCCCTTTTCCCCCTTTCTTTAAAACAAGGCGCAACCTCTCCTTTTGAAAAAGGTCCCAATACTTCAACTACCAGTTACCCGAATCTTGCAAGGCACACACGCCAGAGCGTCGCAACTAGGGCAGCCCAGAAGGTATATTGGGCAATATCTATCGCAATAATCGCACGAGCCAGCACCATAGACGTATGGCCACCACCGATTATGGTGGCAGTGGCTGTCATTGCCATTCCACTCCTCGCGAGGCAGGTTTGGAGGCTGTCGTGCTGTGCCCGACCACCCTCGCCCCCCGCTCCATCCGTCATCAAGGTCATCAAGCGCGTCCTCCATAGCAGAGAAATCGAATGCGTTCCTGCTCTTCGGGAATTGCTCTTTTCTCTTTCGTTCCTCTTCCTCTCTCCTCTCCTCTTCCCGTCTTCTCTTCTCCTCTTCTTGCCGCTTCTCTCGGGCTCGTTTCTCTTCTCCTTCTCGCTTAAGGGCCGCCTCAGCTCGGCGTAGCTTTTCTAGGATTTCGTGGACGTCTGCTTCCGTAAATAATTTATCTCCTGTTCCCTGCCTGCCTGCACCTGTCGTTGTCTTCCTCTGCCGCCCACAGGCCTCCTCATACTTGTCCCATTCTTGTTTAATCCTCTCGTATTTGCAATCGAAACAGTATCGTTTCGACGCATCGCTCAGGGTTTCCCACGCACTTTGGACCTGCGAAAATAACGGTGGGAGGTTTCGTTCGAATTAGGGTATTTTCTAATCGTCTTTCAGATCGCCCCCCAAGGCGTTCCCCGGATAAAAGTAACCTCCAACACTAACCTTGACAAAGAGACTTGATTCTATCCCCGGGTTCTTGTCTGGGTGAGTTTCCAACAGGCGCTTGCGATATGCCTTTTTAATATCTGATAACGACGCGCCTTTCGACACTTTCAGAATGCGGTAGCAATCGATTTCCGTTGGTTCAGTCATCTTTGGATCTGTGGCTGTAGACTAGGAAGGAAGCGGGATGAGATGAAGGCGGCTGGAAGAATTTCCGTAAAAAAGCACACAAATCCCGCTTGAAATACGGAATATATTCAACCAAAGTTGAAATTGTTCTTCCAAACACTTTCGTATAGATGAGGCTTTCAACCCATCAAATGGTCAAAGGGCGGCAGACAGTCTCATAAGAAAGGAAGAAAGGGTGAATTCCCCCCACCCTCAGCACAGTTACATTAGCTCTGTGAAATCTGCAGTGGGCGAGTGAGCCTTGCTGAGCCTTGAGAGGCACAGTTAAGAGTCAGGCCAATTGAGGCACCCCAGTAAGAAAACTGTCCCTCATTTAGCCGCCATTTGTCAGCCTGCTATACTGTCAATCCACTCTCCCCTCATCCATTAAATCCGTGACGACGGATACTATACGGATTAGTATGTCGGCGATTTGGGGGCCATGCGTGTTCAGAAAACAGTCTTGTCGGAGAGAGGAGGGCGGAGTCAATGAAGAGTGTCATGTCGTGTCATCTTGTGTCGTGCAGGAATGGGGCGTTTTAAGCAGTGGCTGCTGGTGTTTTGAGTGCATTATTGCATTGGTGGTTAGGATTGATTTGGAAATACTAGACGAGGCTTTACTTGCTATACCCTTGGCAAGTGCTTGCAACAGGGTCAGTGATGACGAATCTGTTCGCATCTGACCAGTGTTGTTGAAAAGAGGTTCTTTTTATTTATTTATTTTGGATTGGCGAGATATGTAGCTCTACTCTTCATGGCCTAAGATTAGCGAAGATCACATCCCAGCAGAATCTTTAAAATGCTGCCTGCATAGCTTCAAAGGTAGGTAGGAGGAATCATGGCTTAGCCCTCCCAACTTTTTCCTGCATTGGTTGTTAAAATGGATCGAATTCTTCTCGTCAGGAGCGGTGCCAACCCTTTGACGGGTGCATCCGTTCTTCTGCATCCCTCCCGCACCGCACCAGAGTCTACACTCTGCAGATTCCCCATGAAGATGATGCAGCTTTGCGCCATGCGATGCGTTGATGCATGCCGAGGTATGTGACTACTCCTTCCTTGCGTTGTGCGGGATAAACATACGTTCTCCCGATAAATAATAATAATAATATAACTCTCAAGTTATGTCAGAGAACACCATGTATCAGAAAAACGCCTATTTCCCTCTCTTTGTAATCAAAAATAAACATATAACCCACCCAGCCTTCCCGTTCTCAAGTTAATTAAATCTTATACTTCTCTTTAAGAAAGCTCCTCCTTCGAAAGCACCACCAACTACACATGTCGAACACAAACACGCCCTCATCTCGCCGTCAATCCCATTCCCCCTTCTACCCGCTACCCACAACAAGTAAGCGCCTCACATCCACTTCTACAAACAATCTTACACGTCGAACTCCGCGCCTCCCTCCTCAAGCGAAGCCCCCCCGTACCGGTACCCGTGCCCGCATCCCCCTCTGAAGAAAGTACATGTACATCACCAGCAACAGACGACGAGCCAGAATGCGCCAGCTCCGGCTGCAGCGTGACAGAGTGGATGCCATAGGCGTGCAGGCACTCGCCGATGCGCTGGGCGCGTGCCATGAAGCCGGCGAGAGAGGAGTCGGAGGTGACGACGTGCGCGGAGGCGATGGCTTTGTTTTGGTTCAGGCGCCAGGCGTGCAGTTCGTGGACTGAGAGGACGCCGGGGATCTAAAGGGGAGTGGGGAGGGTTTTGAGTTAGATTTGTTGACTCTCTTTTTTTAAGGAGGGTGGGATGCTTTATACGTACCGTTTCGAGATCATGTTGCACATCGTCTAGATTAACGCCGAGTGGGACAGTGTCAAGGAGTATGGAGCCGCTGTTTTTCACTATTGGTGTTTGACGCAAAGAGGGAAGAGGAGGAAGTGGATTAGCTGGGACGCCATGACAGCGTGGATTGCAAAATGGATCGGAAAAACGCAGGTGGTAAACATAATGAGAAGAGGAGAAGGGGTCGCAAAATATTCTTTGAATTCTTACCGAGTGGAATAGCTGTAACCAAAATCAGAATTCCGATCCCAAGACTGACTCCCGGATCTGCATAGTATCTCCCTTCATGCGTTGCCTTCCAAATAACCAGGGCAGCAATGATGACGCCAATGTTATTGATGGCATCGCCAATGACGTGGAGCAGCACGCCCATGACTCCCAGGTCATGCGACCGCTTGGCGGGCAGAGAATTGGTGGCATGTCGGTGGTTTTCATGAGCGTCTTCTTGCTCTTGCTGGTGGCGAGAGTTAGGAAAATTTCCCGAAACGAAGGTATTATTTTGAACTAGAAGGAAGCGAGTGGCAAGGAAGAGAGATACATGCACGTACATTCTCAAGTTCTATCCTGACGGTGTTTTGGTCATGCTCTGCATCTACCTCGGGGGTAGCGTGGCTGTGACTGTGACCATGACCGTGTCCATGGTGGTCATGCCCATGTTCTATTGTGTTGATGTCAGCAAATCTTTTCATGCTCCTGAGAGCGGGGGAGAGGCGCGGGGTCCGGCCGGGGGGATCCTCCGCAAGTTATAGTTACCGTGGATAAAAAACACGCTGATGATGTTCAGCGTAAGACCCACGCATCCAATGATAAGGATAAGCTCCGGATTCTCGACCTCTAAATATATGTGGTTCCTCAAGGGATTCCAGTCAGCCGCCGAAACTAAATTGGGTTCTGTATATGGCCGGGCATAACAAAACCAGAAAAAAAATCAAATCAAATCAAATCAAATCAAATCAAATAAAATCAAATAAAATAAAAATAAATAAAAAATAAAAATAAAAATAAAAAAAGAAAAAGAAAGAAAAAAGAAAAAAAGAAAAAAGAAAAAGAAAAAAGAAAAAGAAAATAAATAAAACAACAGATAATACATACTCTCCAATGAGACGAAGCGTTCAATAGACTGCAGAATAATGCTCACGCCCAGCGCCATCAGGAAGACGCCATTGAAGAATGCGCCTAGTAGCGACGAACGCTGCCAGCCAAACGAGAGATAGCTTGGGGGTTCGCCTGGTTTTTCGGAGACCTGAACGGCAGAAGGGGAGCAGGAGGTTAGCTAGATATAGCCTATTGTACTTCTTGTTTATATTGTTTTGGCAGTGTTTGGAATATATATATTTATACATATATATAAATTCATCGGCTTGAGGCGCGTCTGTATGGGGTAAGGAAGACATACCTTCAACGCTATGAGAGCAACGACGAAGCCGATGAGATCGTTTAGCTACATGGACCAGCGTCAGTAAATACACAAAGCCCTTTTATCCTCCACACGGATGAATGAATATATATATCTAGAAGACGTCGGCTCCTTACATAGTGAAACGCATCAGCAACCAGGGCTAGCGAACGCGTGTAGAAACCAACTAAAATTCCCCCACAAATGTCAGTATATTCAGTATTTTGTTAAATCAGTTCCTGAGAGACCCCTGGAAGCGAGTATCTATCTGGGGCTTTGCAGAACTGCTGTCTTGCTGGTTTGCTGGTTTGGACTTGCCTGAGATCTCGACGAGGAAGAACGAGAGGGAGATGGCGATGATGATGCTCAGACGGGTTGAGCGAGATAGATTAAAGATGGCCATTGTTTCATATCAGATCATTTGGGTGTCGTCTGGTGGTAAAACGCAGTACTCTCTCGAGCGCATGAACGGGGAGTATGTATATATGACTCAGTAGAGAGACGCGTAGGGGAAGGGATGAAGAGGAGTGGAGAGAGCAAGGTGTTTTTTGCAATAGGAAGTTATTTTGTCGCTGCTCGTTTGCTGTCGAATTCACGAAATATTGCTTATTCACTTTCTAAGTTATCAGTTAGAAAGAAAGGTTTGAAGCTGAAACTGAAGTTGATGTCAAGCATGAAGCCGTTGAGCAGGTTCTGCTGTGCGTGTTTTACCTCTCTCTCTCTCTCTCTCTCTCTCTTTCAACTCTGTAGCTCTATCTTCTAGCTAGTTTTCCGCACTTCTTCTGTAGGCAAAAAATAAATAATAAACTTTGTAAAGCCCGAAGACAGGTGTTAAACTAGTCACCGCTATCTAGCTCCACACAGCCATCAAAGCATATTCGATTTGCAAATTGCAGCCAACCAAGGGACCCAGATGTCCCTTTAAGAGCCCACTTGGGAATCTAGCCTCCAGGAGTCTATAAAACCAGGCAAAGTGCCGCTTGTGTTGCCCAGAGAACTAGCCTCAATAATAGGACCTGGGGAAGAAAAAGAAAAGAAAAAAAAAGATTCACTCTCCAGTCGGGATCACCGAGAGAGTATGTAGTTAGGGCTTTTGAGTGAAAAGGGAAATAAAAGAAGCCAAAAAAGCAAAAACGGTTTCTTGGTAAGTGACAGAGTTCCTGAACCTATTTTCTTTTCTTTTCTTTTCTTTTATTTATTTTCCTTTTTATTTATTTATTTATTTTTTGTTAAAATAAAGGACTGGACTTGGCAGATAAGCTTTTTTGCTAACTTGATGGGGGAAAGGGAACCTTAGCTTTGCTTGTCTGAGTGCCCTAATAAATCGAGGAGTTACGTCAATGCAATGACTTTAACTATCAAACTATGAAACTCTCTTGCGCGAAATTGCCTCGTCGTAGTGGAGAAGGGCGCCTGCGGATGGAAGGTTAAACTAACCATTTATTTATTTTTAGTTAGCATATGCAAGAGCTGCCGAGGGATCTGATACGACACTGTAGGGGAAGCTGTCGGAGGAGAGGAGGAAGAAGGAGAGGAAGAAGAAGAAGATGGAATATGGTGTGATGCCAGATGTTTCGCCTGGATGTCTTCGGGGTGATGCCGGGGCAAGAGTTAAACGGCTTTGTGTGACGTGGCGGCGCGAAGTGGTATTCATATAGTTACGATGTAAGAATAAATATTAACTATGATATGTTAAAATGCACTAATTAATTTAGTTTATAAAAATACTTTTAATATAGCTACTTAGGAGCTATAATGATTATCTTCTTTTCAGAATTATTATTCTAATAATTTTTAAATTATTTCTTTAGAAGCCCCGGGGGGTTTGTTATCTGAATTCTTATACATAACTCCATGAGTGCCGTGAAATGGTTTGCGGGATCGCCTTGGCTCGGATGCTCCACCTCACTGGAAATGGTGTAAGGGAAGAACAGACTTAAAACAGCTGCTGGACACCAAACTCACTTCAGAGCTACTCTGACGGCCTCGGACTTCAGACTGTCTTTGTACATACCTTTCAGTATTCTTCATGACTTGGCTGGCTTTGTAAATCTGTTCAAGGTCAAGACTGACAATGCGGCTTCAAGCACCAAGAAATTTCATCCTTGTGCACCTCACTCCTTCCCCCTCCCCTGCGATTGCTGCTAGCTGCTATATTCCTCCACTGCGAAAATTGACATGAGACGGGTTGCTTATACGTCTGCGGTGGGCGCCCGTATAACCAACCGATGCAGCTGTCAAGCATGGGGAGGAGACACATGAACAGTCCCTTTCACTTCAGAAGTCGGTGCTGTACACCTGGAGGACTTGGATATTCAGCCAGCTTAGTATCAAGCGGCGACATTCAACGTCGTCTTCTTCCATGCGGGAAGACCCCATTTATACATCCATTCCGATGCAAGAGCCTCCTTCGCGGTAATGCACAGCGCTGGCTCGTAGGTCAACATGCTGCTCAGCAGCTTCTCAAGCGCGGCCATCTCGTCCGCACCCAACTCGCCCTGTCGTCCCATAAGTCCCAACCTCTCAGTCAGAGGTCGCGATCATGGAGCGTGGGCACGGTGTGTATCTTTCTTCCACCACCCGTCGGGAAGGAAGAAATCTCCCTTCTGCTGCCAGCGATCCCACCATTTCTTGGGTAGAGGGCCTAGTGTGCTTATCATCTCTGCAATCGCATGATCTTCATCCGGCATGAAGCCCTCCAATTAATTCGCGTTCGCCAAGGAGGTTGTACAGGGTACTACCCAGAGTCCAGAGGTCAATTGCTGTTCCCAGTGACTCATCGAACAGAAACTCCGGTGGGAGGAGTAAGACTGGAGTATGTAGTCGCGTTGGTGACTCTGTTGGTAAAAAGGCCTCTCCAAAATCGGCAATGATCGCGCCGCAGTCTTCTTTGACATCTTGACACGAAACATAGGTTCGCGCAGGCGGGATGCAGTACCGGTGCGTTTCGGGGCCTGTCGACTTCCCATCTAGTCGCTGAACAGGGAGGGAGCTTCATAGGCTCTCCCAGTTCACGATAAACATCGCTGGTGCCGCGGAGGTGCCTTGGAAGGCGAAAGAGAATGTTGCCTGAATGTAAATCTGATAAAAATTGACTTCGTAAAGCCTTTCTCAAGATAAATATGTCTACCGTCAGGTTTGCTTACCACCATGTACAACACCACAAGAATGGATGTAATCCAGTCCTAGAAGAACTTGGACACCGATTGCCCTTGCAGCGTTGACGGGAAACTTCCATGGCATGGTTTCATTTTTGGAATTCGCAATACTGCAGCCTAAAGCTTCTGTTACAATGCACTGATGGCGGCCATTTGGCCTGGTGATAGTGAACTCATCAAGTAAGGTCAAGACAGACCGTCGACCTGGATGGTTCTGCTTTCCTGATGCAAGTCTGGTCAATATTTTGGCTTCTCGACTCTCCTCGAAGAAAGTTGCAACGACTATCTTGAGAGCGACAAAACAGCTTTTGTCATGGTTCTTGGCCAGCCAGACTGTCGAATAAGACCCGAAACCAAGCTTGTGAACAACTTCGTAGCGATTATTCTGATATCGATCTCCAATGTGTGTTGGATGGGTAGCCACTGGGAAATAGTTTTCGAGATCTTCGACGCCTTCCTGCCACTGATACAGCAACGGGGGGAGACTCTCGTGGTCGGAAGGTATTGGAAATGTTTGACCGGAAAGCTCCTCAGAGCGCTGAAAAGATAGACTTTGACGAAAAGGGACGAGGTAATTTCAATTACTGATTCTCGAAAGATGCAGAAAAGAAGAGCCATGGGCCTGTCTCAACTTGCTGGGGAAGAGTCGGAGCATCTGGCTGATGTCGATAAAATGTTGCTGTGTTTTCAATTGGAGGTCAAGAGGCTCGCTCACCACAAAGGAGAAACAGGCAACTGTTTCACGTTGTGCAATGGCGCCAAGCGATGGTTTGTAAGAGATCAAAGGTTACTACCTAGGTAGAGATTATATGTACTCTGTACTGTGTAACCACTCAATTTGCAATCATTCAGAGTTGTTAAACTAAGATGATGGACACATCTGTTATTTGGTTCCTAGGCCTATACCTGCAGTTGCTATCTGATCTGATCAAGCCCTCGGGATGTTAACAGGTAAGCCTAGGCTTGGCACTCTTTTAGACAAAGCTAATTTTATAAACCATATGGATGAATAAAATTCCGAAGGTTTTTTTTTTTTTTTTTTTTTTTTTTTTTTTTTTTTTTTTTTGGATCTAACTATTTGTTTCAACTAGTTAGGCATAAATCTAGACCTTCGAAGGAGATAGAACCGCGCAAGTGTTGTGCCAGGAAGTCACACACATCAGCTTCAGAGAATCTGGCCCATAAATTCGATCGTATCATAGTAAGTTTGTACTGTACATACAAAAGACTGATGTAAAAAGAATAGAAAATTTTCTGATGATTTATATGAGAGTAGTTATCAGAAGAAGAGACTGAGGAGTGAATAGCTCAAGAAAGACTCAATCAAGAGGTGTCTCTCACTGTCACTGTTGTAGCTCTTCTTTCTTTGTGGAATATTGGGCAGCTGTCTATTTAGTTTCTCATATTCAAGTTATGTCAGTTTCAACAAAGCCTGATGGCTCAGCATAGTACATCAGAGGATGGACTCAGGCCAGCTGCGGTTGATTGCAATTAAATCTGGAAATTTGATTCAATCAGGCATGGTTTGAAGCAGAGCAGAGGTTTTTGATTTAATTTTATTCTTATCAGATCCGTATTCAAAGTCAGGAAAGAAGGCAAGAAGAAAGCACCATATACAGAAGTATGATTGGAGGCAACGTAGGCTCAACCACCCCGATCAGAAGATGGAAGAAGCTCATTACATCCTCGATGAATGAGAAATGACCGTTGCTATACTCGAGTGTGTGTTAAGTTTCGCTTTAACAACCAAAGGCCCCGCCGTGTCACGGAGCATTTTGCAAGTTGCCAGTCATCGCGGGAGAAAAGATCCGCATACGCCGGAACGGGAGGAACTATATAAAACCAGTCCTGTTGTTGCACTTCGATGTAGGATCGAAGGAGAATATTAGGCGGGGATATGAATATAACACACCCAGAAGGCAGGTATCTAAATAGAGTTCTCAAGAATAAGATAACTATTAATTTGTGTGTCTTTGCTTTCTGCGAATAAGACTTCTAGATCAGTCAAGATACTCTTAGCGATATTGGATATTGTCTGGCAGAAGTTTGGAATATCTCATCGTCTTTGAGTAGCGTCCCCTTGGTCAACTGCCTCACCTTCATCCTCCTATTGGTGCTAATGATCCGTTCTTTGCGATAGTTACCTTTCTGCCCTAAATCAGTGTGATCTAGCAAACTAGCGATCTCTTTCTTATATTCCCTATTTCTTTCAAGGTGTCGAGATTGTCTTTCCCTGAAAATCCTCTACCTTGCCGCCGAACGTTTCGTGTTCATGAAATAACACCACCACCTCTCATGTGCTAATTGATGAAGCATCACCGTGTGCCGGTTCCTAATCCTGTGTGTAAACATTGGAGTCATACTCTATCGAGGGCGCCTTTCTAGCCCACGTTGTACTGTACATGTATGTACTGTACATTGGCATTTGCATTTGATTATGAAACCAAAGCAGAATCGAGCTCCTGGCTTCAACCTATCATCCCCAAGATCCGTCCGTGCTACATACATTCAGCATGACCCCTCACAGAGAACCCCATAAATTCCTTCCAACGAAGGGGCAGGGCACAGGAAACGGGACACAGGATGGGAGAAGAATAGGACAAGAAAGTGCGTCGTTGTTCAAGCCGTGTTTCCAAGGGCTATATAAATCAATAAATGCAGCAACAGACATGTCTAAATGGAAATAGCGCATGATACATATCAAATATGGATGGCGAGCGTAATAGCCTTGGAACTGGTCTCAGAGCCCTGCTAACTGACACAAAAGATGCTAATTATTATTACTGTCAAAACTAATTTATATATGAATTAATAATATCCAATAAACATAGGGCGAACACTGGCAAATTTACGCACAATTCATGCAACAATAATTAACATGCAACACAAATCCTGGATTAAGAACACAGAGAGAGAGAGGAGAGAGAGAGGAAAGAGAGAGAGGAGAGGAAACAAAAGAAAGAAACAAAGACAAAAAATAAAAAATAAAAATAAAAGAATTTGTAAAAAGATCGGGTATACTGCCTCTCATACAGACTCATACATCCCATCCCATCTCCTTCCGGCCCCAGACAGACTGCAACTAGCGAGCAACAACAGCTTCGTTAGCATTACTCCGTATTAAATTGCCATTTCCCCCGGCGCGCCCTTCATTCGCTCAAGATATGATTCTTTTTTTTGAACATCAAATTAGATTATAATTATCATACCAAAACATCATCCCATCCCGCTGAGACATACGTAACATCCCTCTTTTCTCGTCTTTTTCCCTCCCTTTTGTTGTTTCATTCCTTTTCCCCTTTTTTTCGTTGTTCCTCTTTTCCATCATTTTGTCCAGGCAAGCCAAAGTAATAATAACACTATACCCTTAACTCCCTCACTTGAACTTCTCCTTCAGCTTCGAGAAGATCGCACTGGCACGGTTCTTCTTTTTCTTCTTGGTTTGGCTCTCCTGATCCGTCGTCTGCGCTGTCGTGGGCTTGGTCGCTGCTTCCGCTCCCGCTCCAGTGGCCGGGGGTGCCTCGGTACCAGAAGTGTTTTTGGCAGCTGTAGAGGCGGCCGCAACTTCTGCTGGTGCGGTAGTCGTCCCCGGGCCCGTCGTGACGGTTGGCTGTGTCTGCTCGGTCGTCGGGGATCCGGCGGTATGTGCAGTGGTGGCGGCTGGAGATTTCGGCGAAATGGATTCATCTTGGGTTGTCCGTGCTGGCTCGGGGGCAGGAGCTGCTGCTGCCGCTGCGGTGGAAGTACCGGGTGCAGCAGCAGAGGTCTCCGCCGTGATGACGGGTGCGGGTTCACCAGCCTGATCAACGCGTTTCACGTCGTGGAGCAGCTGCTCTTCAACCTCCTTTTTCTCAGCCACGGCTAGAGGCACAGCCGCTGCTTCGGGGTTCCATTGCGCGTCATCGATGGACTTGCGAACGATTGCAGGGGCCCCACCAGAGGTATCTGCTCCAGCAGCTCCAGCGGCGGGTTCCACATTTCCAAGCAACTCCTCCTCAACCTCTTTCTTCTCCGCGACAGCGGCAGGGACACCTGCGGCTTCGGGCATCTTGTGGGCCTTCTCTAACGACTCCTTGACTACGTCGGGGACGTCGCTGGCGGCAACTTGCGGTTCGCTAGGCCCGCCTGCATTGCGGGTTGATTTCTCGAGCGGGACGGCACCGGCGAGCGCGGCAGTGGTGGATGTGGGAGCAGCGGATTGGACGAATGGTTCCACGACCCCATTAGTGCACTGGGTTATTACGGGAAGGGTGGTAACTGTTTCTTCCGCTGGCGGTGCGAAGCCCGCGGTACTAGCATCTTTCTCATACCCTTCCTGACCCGTAGTGGCAGTGGAAGCCACTGTGTTTTGTGTGATGGTGCTGGGGTCAGGAACTGGTTCGCCTGGCTGGAGTTGGATTGGGTTCCCAACGCCTTCTGTCGCCGGGATTGGCTTGACTGTGAACTGCTCTGTTTCTCCAGCAGGTGTCACTGGGAAAGCGCCGGGAGTCGAATCCTTTTTACTCTCTAGTGTGGCATCCTTCGCGAGAGTGGCGGTGGTCGATTCTGGAGCAGCAGAAGAGATGGTGGAAGCGGCGGGAGCGGCGGTTTCAGTTTCTGGAACCTTGTCTGACTCTTTGGGGACACCTGCGGCTAAGGATGCGGTTGTAGATTCTGGTGTAACTCCAGACATGGTTTCTGGAGCTTCTTTACCCGCTGGGGAAGCTGGTGCTGGAGTGATGACTTTCGTGGGGGGGAGTTGTTTAATGTGATGTCGGAGGAGAACGTTGTTGGTGTTATGATGACCGTCGTCTTCTTGGAGAGCCGTGGGATCTAGTTTCCAGGAACCGTCGACAACAAACTATCAGGCAACGTGTTACACGACAGGTCAGTCCAGGTAACGAGTTGAAAATAGGGCTCGCTCTATTTTCGGCGAGAAAAAACAAACAAACAAACAAACTATAAATTGACCAAAAAAAAGAAGAAGAAACCAAGAGGGCAATAGGCGTTGCGAATGGATTTGAAACGATTTGACTTTAAGAATTGCAGAGATGCGAACAATAATGTATAATAATGATGTCAACTTTAAGACAGACTTGGGGAAGTTGGGGGTTTGGGGATTTGCCGGCAGGAGGCGGGGGGAGTGGGTGGGATGGGATTAATGTTGACACATTCGGGTAACTTGTCAGCTTTGGAGTGAGTGTGCAAAAAGCTCTAGCTGTAAAATAAAAACCCAACGCAAATTGGCCCCAAAATGGAGTCGCAAAAAGAATCAAAGGGCTTCCTTTGACAGATGGCAAATAATGACGTAGTAGCGCTACGCACTAGTACTAGTCCGGTACCTGGCGTGGTATGAGTTCATATAGCTAGGCCACAGTATTCGCAAAGTACCCGAACTAAAAATACGAGGGGCAGGGAAAAAAAAAAAAAAATAAAGCAATGAAAGAAGGGGAAAGAAAAAGCAAATATCATATCGAGCCTTGGCCATCGACCGCTGCAGCTAGCTGTACGGAGTAGGTTGAGGGGAAATAACAGCCTTGCGATCAGTCCTTGGGGCCGAACCCACAGCGCTCCCAAATAACCAGTGTGCCAATCAATGGGAGTAATGGCGAACTCTTGGCTTCCGTGTTCTTTACCAATCCCCCACAACACCCCGGCCAACAATATCATTTTGTTGGTTGTAGCCGATGTATTTCGGCATGAACATGCACTTTCAAAACCTGTGCGGAAGTCGGAAGAGGGGGAGAGGACGTTCGGCTATCAAGAGGCCACAAGCCCACTCTTCAACTAGCCACTGGGGAGATCATCGGGGAGTTGAAAATCACATCATATGGTGAGCCCCACCGCATGAATAGTGCATTGGCGTTCTGCAGTGCGAGGATGTGGCAAGAAAACGCCAGTATAAGGAGCGGGGTTCAGAGATAAGAAACATAAACTGAAAAAAACGGCAGGGTGCGGGATTGATCAACGGGGGATTGAACGAATCAAAGTAAGTAGCAAAAGAAAAAGGGGGGAAGTCAAAATAAAATAAAAGATAGATGGAAAATAGAATAAGAATAAAAATATCATCAAGCCAGTCAGCCAGTCGCAACGACAATGCCAGGGGTCAACCAGAGCGTGATATTCCATTTTCCTCTTCTTATTTTCATCGCATCCTATTATTTTCACCACCACCCTTATGCCTTTTAACTCATTCACCCATCTCTGCCTCTCCATCTCGCCCCGGTGTGTGTGTGTGTGTGTGTGTGTGTGCGCATACCTTGTAAAGCAGCTTCCCTCCAACGATCGGCACAGCAACATCTTTCCTAAACCCATCCTCTGTCCGATCCAGCTTCACCGACCGCGCCCAGTTATCGAATGTACCCGTAACGTAAACTTCGTTCGGTGTTGGATCGGACCTGGTATGGATTTTTAGAAAAATGGGTTAGCCGCTTGATCAATCATCACTTCTGTGTTCAATTGCCCAAACCGCAATTGCGGTAGGGTTTGATACGGGACAGGGCGGGGAGCTAGAGCTGACGCTGGCACTGGAGATGGCAATGGAGCTGGAGCTGGGAAGATGCTGATGGTTTTATGTTTTTAACCCCCAGAGACACAGCGCCCAAAAAAAAAAAAAAAAAAAAAAAGAAAAGAAAAAGCCCTTATTCGGATGCCCGGCGATTTTGTCATCTCTTTTTATCCTCTTCTTTGATAACCGCACATGGCAACTTTTTTTCGCGCCACGGCGGGGATAAAATTCGATCTCCCCCAACCCTCTTTTCTTAACATATATGCAGCTTCATCTCCAGCTCCATAATACCAGCTCCATCATACCATCTCTCCCACTCGTTTCGCAGGTTGCCGGAATGATTGCCAATCCCGAACGCTAATGAAAGACTCGTACGACGCGGAAGGATATGTCCTTGTTTTATTCTCTTATGGCTCCAATCTGCCGCATGCCAATTCGCAGCAGCCATGCCTTGACCAATCCCTCCCGTTCCCCGCCAGTACCCCCCAAGCGTCCCAATTATTATCTCTTCTTCCCCCTCGCGCCTCAAACCTGTATAGATACATACGTACCATTTGAAAGTGTGTGTCGACATGATTGGAGTCCTGGTCGCATTGGCCGCGGCTCGAAGCGACTTCTTGCTCTTGGTTGCTTTCTTGTTCCGCATGGAGGCGAAATAGGATGGAAAATATTATATTTATATTATAGGGTAGGGTAGGGACAGCCGCCAATTGTCGCCGTCTGAGTCAGCTGTCGGGCAGGATTGGAAGCTGGTTAGCTGGTTAGCTGGTTGGCTGGGATTTGCAGAGGTGGTGCAGGGTGATGCAGGGCATGTATGTAACAGGGAGCGGTTACCTGGGGCGTCAATGGTGCAACGAGGGTTCAGGGTCAATGGGAGGATAGTTTTGTCTTCTAACAGCACTGGTTGAATCAATTGGGTTGCTTCAGTGACGGCTTTGATGTTTGCTTTGTCTAGCAAAGACCATGTTCTTCTTTTCTTGCCCTTGGAATCATTATTAATATATCCCGCCCGGCATGTAGTCAAACATCCAGGTTTTTTTTAAACTTTTTTGTGGCTGAGAGGCGATTTTATTTTTCTCTCCCTTTATATTTTTCCCCTGTTTGTTTCATTTGCTCCTTGAGCTGGATTCTTCCTTAGTACGTCATAGTAGTATGTACCTGTACCTGTACCTGTACCTGTACCTTGTACGTATGTACATGTACTGTACTCCGTACATACATGTACATTACATATTGTGGCAGATGTAAGCTACAGCTTGCAAAAACAGAATTTTCCAAGCTCCTCTCTGAAAATTAGGAGTAAAAAAACTGCTAAAATAGCTTAGGCCTCGGGGCGCCCGGGGCAGGAGCAGGCAAGCCACCACTATAAGAATGAGTCCCGGGCGCGGCTGGCAGAAGCCAGTGGCTTATCTCTCTTCTCTCTATTTATTATAGAAAAACCAACTTTTCCGAGCAATATCACGTGCACCGCATCAAATCCATACCAGCAGTGACCAAGCTCTTTTGCCCCAGTAGAGTTAGCCTACAAAATAGTGGTTGGTCACGTGATCTAGGGAGATCGCCATAGGCAATAGCCGCAGCGGCCAACACCCCCTCTCAACTTATCAGTATTGAGATTGAGTGCCATATTTTAACAGTCATGAATGATGAGGAATTAGAGAAGAGAGAGGAATCAAAGTGGCAATCTCATATAAATAGAATGCGGGGTGCTTAGAAGCTAAATGTAATTCTCATTAAAACATGGTGGCATTTCTTAGCTGTATAAATTGAATCTGAGCAGTGCAATTCTTTTGGTAGCGCCCTCCGTATAAGATCCATTAGGTACATATTATTATTATTATTATTATTCTTCCATTATACTCATATGCAAGCGGAGCTTATGATGAGTCCTTGCGTGATGTTAAATACAGGTCAAGTGTTGGTTATACAGGAGGAAATACAGGTGTTGAGACCACGCCAAGATAACAAGAACATAGGAAAATACAAAGGAGTGACAATTAGATACATGCGATAATAACTTCCCAGCCCAGGAACATAGAGCAATTCATTGGAGCGATTTGTACACCTCTGTATTTATTAGGAACCTGAGGTGCTTGAGTTCCGGATTTAATGCATCCCCTGCGGGTTTCGAACCCACGCGCCTTGGTTTCCCACGCCAAGGTGCTACCGGGTGGCCGCATTAACATTCGGCCACCGGGGCATTAGGTACATATATTTATATATATGCATATATGTATACCAAGAATCATGGCATCAAAACTCTACAATAAGCAGAAATCACTCTCCATCAAAAAGTCTATCCCGCAACAACAACTAGCTAGCAACATCGACAACATCAAGCCCCCAAACTGGCCGGCCCTAAAACCTCTCATCCCACCGTCAGACCTCCACCTCGAAGCCCTCCTGGAGGACCAAATCCTCATAATCCGCAACCTGCTCGCCGCTTCCCTCTGCAGAACATATGTCTCCTTCCTCTCCACGCTGCCACTCATCACGACGCCGAAAAGGCCCAAGAAGGACGAGGCTGTGCGCGTTAATGACCGGTTCCAGGTGCATGATGCGGCGTTTGCGGAGAGGTTGTGGAGCGGTACTGCGTTGAACGAGTTGGTTTTGGCGGAGGGGGAAGGGGAGGCGTTATGGGGAGGGGAGGTGCTGGGGTTGAATCCTAATATACGGATTTATAGATATGCGCCTGGGCAGTTTTTTGATAAGCATTGTAAGTTTTTATTTTTTCTATTTTATTTCTAGATTTTATGGACGGGTTTATTCTTTCTTCTGCTCGCAGGGGTATATATATATACATACAAATATACATGTATAAGTACCGCTTTTTCCCCCTTCCGGCTCGTCAACCCTCAAATCTCAAATATCCTCTCCCAGCCCAGAGCATCAAATGGATAAACCCCAAAAACCATCCATACATCCCCAATCTATCTACCAAACTAACCCCAAGCCCAGACGACGACTCCGTCCCCCTCCTCCTCACCCCCTCCACCCCTTCCACAACTCCCACCCCGACAATCCCCGCAAAAACAACCTGGACCCTCCTCATCTACCTCACAACCTGCACAGGGGGCGAAACGGTCTTCTACCCTGACGACGACGACGACGAACAACAAGCCGGCCCCCCAAAATCCAAATCTAAATCCAAGTCAAAATCATCTCCACAGCAACGGCAACAGCAGCAGCAGGAACCAATAATCGTCAGCCTCGAGACGGGCATGGCGCTGCTGCATCGGCATGGGGAGCGGTGTTTGCTCCATGAGGGGCGGGAGGTGGTGGCGGGGGAGAAGTGGGTTATTCGGAGTGATTTGGTTGTTAGGAGGTAGTACATGTATAATACGTGTAGGTTGGGCGGGGTTATATATATCTATGACACTACCTGGGATGGGTGGTTAGGTGGCTATTTCTCTGGTTTCCCTGTATCTACCACGTAGGGTATTCAGGTATGTATGTACGTATGCGTGCAACGCTCTGATTTAGAGGATGAGGAATCAGTAGCTAAGATGGAGAGAACGTAAGAGGGATAAGAGGGACCAGTTGTATATAATAGTTATAATATAATAATAATTCTTTTCGAAAAATTCCCAGTACCATTCATTAAACATTTTTTCAAATTGAATGTGCTGTGCTATATATATAGTCTTCTTCTACTAGCACTCACATTTTCCGTTCATCTCCCTCTTCCCCCCATGTCAACAAGCATATCTCGAAAAATGAGTAAAGAGAATAAAAAAATAAAAAAGTGGGTTCAAGACAAAGACAAGACAAGACAAAGACAAGACACAGAATGTAGAACCGCAGCTAGGCTAAACCTCCCTCTTGCCAACTTTCTCAAAAGAGAGAAAAGAAAAAAGACAAGGAAATAATTTTAGCTACAAGATTCCTCTTCAATGTTTAATACCCCCAGTTGACCATCGTTTATATTTTTGCGCGAGCATTCAGAGAGGGGAGATGGGACGAGAGATAATGTATATAAGAGTTAAGTAAAAAGGGAAAAGAAGAAATGAATATCAAGAGGAAACATAATAAAACCAGTTAAATTAAATTGAACGGAGAAGCAATGTAACAGATGCAAAGAGATGGATCAACCAGAATGGCTCCGGGAAAAATGAGACTTAAAAAAAAAAAAAAAATTGAATGAATGAATGAAAATGAAAATGAAGGGAAAAAAAGGGGTAGATGAATGAGAGGTTGTGCGTGGGAAACTCCATGCAACCCTACAGGGTGTTTTTGGATATCCCCTCAAATAAATTATCATACCAGACCATAAGTAACCCATAACACACCATATACCAAATACTATGCTTTATCACAGACCAAAAACAAAACGCAGAAAGAAAGAGATAAATCAATTAACGGATCATTCTGCCACCGTCTTCTTCGCCTCCGGCTGCGCAGAGGCAGTAGGAGTCGCAGAGCCAGTACTCGTAGTCGTACCCGCAGCACCAGTAGTCCCATACTCCGCCCTCCGCATAATATCCTCCACCGGGCCCAGTAGCCTCTTAAACCCATCCCTCCCCAACTGTGCGACCTTAACATCCGTCATGGCCACCACACTCGCCGCACGCGGCTTCTCATCCAGCAGCGCCAGCTCGCCAAAGTAGTCGCCGCGCTTATATCGCTTGACGGGAGTGGCGCCGCCGGCAATGCCGTTCTTAAACGCAGCCGCTTCACCCGCTTCGAGCAGGTAGAAGGTATTGCCCGGGTCGCCTTCGCGGATGATCGTGGCGCCTGCGGGGTGCTTGACGGTGTCGAGGGCGTCTGCAATCTTGGCGCGTTCGTAGGGCTTTAGGGAGGAAAGGAGGGGGACTTCTTCTAGGAAGGCTTCGTACATTCGGCGTCGTTGGAAGGCGGCATCCATCAGGATGCGCCGGAAGGTTATGCGATCGAGCGCCCAGAGTGTGGATTTAGGTTCGGTAGAGACGACGGTGGCGGCGCGGGGGGCGTTGTACATCAGGGCTAACTCGCCGAAAGAGCCACCGGGGCCGATGGTGTCGACTTTGGTACCTAGGCCGCTGGCGGTAGGGGATGTGGCGGAGGCTGGTTGGACGGAGCCGGAGGGGTTGATGTAGATGTCGAAGTGGCCATCTTCGACGATGTAGAAGAAATCGCCAGCATCGCCTTGTGTGATTACCTTAATGTCCTTGGCGGGGATTGGTTTCTCGACAAGGGCGTTGAGGACGGTTTCGAATTGTTCTTCGTCTAGGTGGGAGACGAGGAAGTTCGAAGCTGACGGCGTGCTGGAGGCGGGATCGTTGTTCGGGGGTTTTGGGGTGGTAAGGGGGAACCCAGCAATCAGCGCCAGAATTGGAAGGGTTTAGGGATTCTGCGGAAACGGAGGTTCGCCGGCCTAGGGCGTAGTTATGTGGCAAGCCGGATGATAGCTCCTCGCCCAGGGAGGAGCCTCCCACTCCCCCTCCCCCTCCCCCTCCCTGTCCTCCCCCTTCTGTTCCGGTGGTGGCGGTGGAGGATTGGGGGAACGCGGATGGGGCACATTCGGAGAATGGGTTGGTCTGTCGAAACGGGGTTGCAGATTCACCACTGGCTCGAGCTCCATCTCCAGCACCAGCTCCTCCTCCTCTCCCGCCTCCTGATATCTGGCCGAGCGGCCCGCCCGGCTCGGAGCGTGTATCTGTGGAGGGGAAGGTACGATTTCGAAGGCCCACGGTGGGGTTGTGGAAAGCAGTTTGAGTGGGCGAACCGAGCGACTCATCCTCCTCTTCAATTTTGGATACACCAGATGTCCCACCAAAGGGGTTGGACCGATGGAACATATTATGAGCCATGACGACGACGCCCACAGTCTGTTGTTGGGAGGAGATAAAAAAGGGGAGAGATGCCGTCTCGGGGAGAGGATTTGATATATTTTATATTTGCCTGTAGACCTAATTGCAATGGCAGGGTGGTTGGGGGGGGATGCCGTAAACTTTGTTTTTCTCTTTTGGGAAGTGAGATGGAGCCGTGGTGGAATGGGGGAAGAAAGCACTTTATTTTTAAAAGGGGAATATGGGAAGATGGATTAGATGATGGAGAGAATAGAGAGATATGGCAGTGAGGATGTGATGATAGGGGTGAGAGCGGAGGGGTTGAGGGGCATTGAGAGGTGGTTGGTTGGGTATAGTTAGGTTAGGTTAGTGTAGTGGTTACTAGTTAGGGTTGGGATGTCGTGTGGATAAGAACAGGAGCTGTAATGGGGAACGACAAAGAAGAATGGTGGAGGAGGGCCAGCCAGATAGTTGGTGGAGGAGGAAGATGTAAGATGTAAGGTGTAAGTGGTAAGGGATAAGGGATAGAGGTTGAAAGGTGAGAGTTTGAGAGGTTGAGAGGTTGAGAGGTGAGAGAAGCGGGAGAGGTGCAAGGGAGGCAAGCTAGGCGATGGAGGGGTGGAAAGAGGAGGTAGTTACGGTCTACAGAGGCGTGGAAATAACGCCCTTGCAAACACTAGTAATTAAGAGATAAACGGATTACAATCCCTCCTGATTACGGGCCCTGTTGGTGCCTTACCTTATAGGGGCCTGACCCCTAAACATTGACATTACGGGCCGGAACAATTTGACTCCAGTACTGTACTGGAATTTCAAAATAAATTTCTAGCGTGTTCAAGTACTTCAGTTCCACACCCTGTACGGAGTACAGTTGAAGCTACTATGATTGAGAGGGTGATGCTAAGTCGCGCTGCCCACTCACGGGCCACCGCCAAGAAGGGAAGAACCGAGGGTAGGGGGCCATTCGTTTTAGCCGGTCATAGTTAAAGCTACACTAGTTAAAGTTCTTGGCCTCGCTCCGGGCTTCGAGAAGAGGCTAGAAAAAGGATGCTCCCGCCACCACCCGCAACAACTGCAACCACGCACGCAGGACAACTCTGTTCGGCTGGGAGTCTGCATCAATATTATTGTAATTATGATTGTATTATGATTTTATTATTAGCTGTTCTATTGATCCCTAATACGTATATGAGGACAAATAAGAATCACCTCAGTAAGCTTGTCTATACCCGGGATCTGATGAAGAAGCTTGTGGACGGCATTTTACATCCTTACCCTCCCACCGCCATTTCTGATCATCGGCAGCTGCAGGGGATATCTCTGCGATGACTTGTACCACCGAGGATAAGTTGTGGAAGGTGTAAAGCTTGCTTGATTGAAAAGGTTGCTAGCTTGTGGGAAGTTATATGGAGGAAGGATTAGTAAGCCAGATCATGTGACCTGACACCCCCACTCATCAGAGTAACTATTAGACTGGCCGCCGGGACCATGAATTTCACGTTTGGTCCCATTTGGTCTGGTCCCATACATTTCTTGGCGTGAATCCCGCTGGGACTAGTCATTAAAAAAACATGCAAAGTGACCATATATGAGATCTTAAAATGAAATCATGACTTGAAAAAAATGAGAAAGTGGTCTCATTTGATCTCATTTAGTTCCATTCTTAGCATAAAGTTACTATTTTTAGACATTTTAAGGTTTTTTTTAGACTATTTTTAATTTTTTTAAAAAGTAACACTTTTTGGTAACACTCAAATAAGATTTAAAGTCATTTAAAGCAATAAAAATAATTTAAATTGAGAAGTGAAAATCATAGTCTCATTTGGAAAATGTGACAAGAGTAGACAGTAAGTCCCACTGGGACAGTATGAGACTACTATTGAATGTTAAAACTGTGTAATGGGATCGGTCGAATTGGTAATGAAACTATCAAAAAATCTGGTCCTGGTCTCAGACACGGTCACACGGTCAGTCTAGTAACTATACACTATGCTATATACAAAATTCGCCTTCAAATCAAGTACAGGTACAAAAAATGACTGGAAAATGTGTAGTAATGAAAAACCAGTCATGAGATACATCTTTTTTTATTCCTCTATTTCTCTATCTTCTTTATATTCTCCTTTCAATGTGTATATTTTAATGTTTGAAGTGATTTAGTAAGCTCATCTGTCACATTCTCAGCAGATGAAACATATCAGATAGATATCTCATTCTTGTGAATGAGATTTTAAAGAATGTGAAAACAGATCTCTATATACTTTAAGCAGTGTGAAATTGCTTTGAAAGAGAATAGCTCTATAATGAACTTATTATCAGTATAAATTGTATAAGTCAGATTATTGACTATAGTTGAAATGAGATAATTATCAGTATTCAGATTATTGAGATAAGATGAAATGAATTCAGTATCTTCTAGAAGCTCTCAGAGACAGACAAGCTTATATACAGTCTCAGAGAATACAATATATTCAGTCTTTATTAATGATTTGAAGATCTCAGTTTGCTGATAGCTCTGTCATGTAACAGAGTCATCTGTTATATAGATGATATAATCAGTGATTGAACAAGATTCTGAATCTCTATCAGCTTAATTAGTATCTGTGTATACTACAGATTCAATATCAGTATCTCTGTGATAGATTATATCTTTATTAATTGAACTCTGTAGATATTAAAGTGTATACTTATATACAGCTCAGTTCTTTGATATAGACTGAGAGCTGAATCATCTAAGAAATTCTGTGATAAAGCTCATATTAGAATGTGTAAGAGGCCTACGCCAAATAGATTAGTATAATATATAGATCTTATATAACAAAGTGAAAAACATTAGAGAAGAAAAGAAAGAGAATGTGTGAGAATCAGTGATCAGAGTGAATATTTATACATGTACACAGTAATGTACACAGTGAAACTTCAGGGTGAAAGAATAGAGGTTTTTGTACATAGTGAAGCTTCAGAGCAGAAGAATAGAAATTTCATAGATTTTCAGCTGAAAATTGATGACTGAGAGTCAGAGTGATAGAAATCTGTGAAGTGTAACAGAATAGTCTATATAATTAATCAGATACAGCTTATCACATTAATTCTCTCTTTCTTAATTATATGTAGCTTTTATCAGTCAAGGGCTGTGATCTCAGATAATACAGAACTCAGAGTTCAGATCAGATGATTATAACTGACTTATTTTATAAGATATTATCAGTCATGACTGCAGAGTCTCTTATCAAGAATATCTTCAATCTCTCATTTAAGTTCATTATCTTCTTCTATGATCTCTGGTGACTGTCAGTCAGAAGTCAGTTGAGAAGAGAACAGATTAATAACAGTATGATAAAGCAAGCTCATATGAAAGATATTATGAATTTCTGATAATGTGTTAAGACAGTAGTTATAACTGTTTAGAACTTCTATCACTTTATACTTTGTATAATAATAATTCAGTGTGTAAGATGAGTGTGTGATCTGTATATTCTTAAGATTTAATTATATCAGATCTTCTATCTTATATTACTCAGTGAAATCTCAGTGAATATTAATTCAGTTCTTCTAATCTTGTTTAGTACTTGTCATGAAGGCTTCTACTCAGTTATAGATGTCTCAGAGCTTCATTACTATGTTATCAGTAATCTGAATCAGGCTGTGAGAATTCAGTGTGAACTGTGTGATCTCTAGAAGATTCAACACTTTCATGTGATAATCATATGTAAGAAAGAACAGACTTACACCTGTTGAGACAGTATCTCAATCATTGATAGTAATCTCTGCATGTAGAAGAAGATTATATCAATCATCTTATAAGTAATTATAGAACTTATAAAGATAATTCTTTACAGTCTGAATTGTCTGTTCTGATGCATTATCAGTCTCAGAGTGATAGACAGTTGACAAACAGTGTATAATCTTAAGAACTTAACAGATTCTTGTTCAGAGAGTGCTCATGAATTGATGACCTTAATTCAATACTATAGATCTCAGCAATTCATATATTCAATAAAACAGGCTCTGTAGAAAGACTTCAGTAACTTGTTCAGTATTCATCCTATTATAAAATTCTAGTATTACATCTTTACTCAATCAGTTCATAATAATTAGAATGTTTCTACAACTCTTACTCTCAGAGAGATCAACTGTGAAGTCAATTATCACATCTTGCCAGATTCTATTAGAGATATCAAGCAGTTTCAGCAGATCTTTTCCATGATTCTTTTATAAAGTGATAGAGAAATAATAGTTACAGTTTCAGATAAAGTATCTGATGCTGTTTAATATCTCAGATCAGTAGAATTCTTCAGAGATTATTTAATACAGTTATTCACAATCTGAATAACTGATTATATATGAATTATGCATCTCTTGCATTATTCAGATATATAGAAGTTTGAATGAAGAGACTCAATATTGTTCATGAAATTGTAGAGTATTATTACTATTAATTGAATATTCTGAGATATTAATCTTTATATATAGTTCTGAAGAAAATTGAGATACTTTTTATTATACTACTTCAGTGAGAGTGAAGAAGTTTATTAGCTTAGACTGTTGTATGTCACAGTTCATTCAGTGTGAGAGAAGTTGAGATATCAATATCAGTGTCAGTGACAGTTTGAAGAGGAAATATTCTAATTGAAGAAGTATATATAATATTATGAGTTATTTCATCTTGATTAACTAATATCTTCAGATCTAAGAGTCAGTGTTTCTGATTCATTCAACAGGTGTCTGTTACATTGAAAGGCATATCTTACTCTTATTATAAGAGAGCATCTGTCATTGAGTTCTGACTACTGAGATAATAGTGTATAGTGAAATGAAAACAGCTTAATAGCTCAGATCATCACATCTGATGTTCAGTAAGCTTATAAGTAATTATGAAATACTTGAGATTCTTATGATCTGTAATTATCTTAAATTTGAAGATACTTCAGAGTTCAGAGTCTTATTCTTCTAGATAGTATATAATTATAAGAAGTTTCTTATTATAGATCTTGTAATTGCATTCAGCAGAACTCAGTTTCTTAAACATGAAGATATATGATTATAAGATATCTTTATCATCATATTATAATATAGCTTCTTCTATGACATAGTCAGAGAAATCAGCTTTAATAACTATCTTATAATCAGAATTAAATGTTATTAGTAGAGAGATATTAATAAACATCTTCTTCATCTGTGTGAATATAACTTCAGTGTCTGCTGATTACTGAAATACTGAATTCTTCTTAATAAGTTCTGTGAGTGATCTTATAATATCTGAGAAGTTTCATATGAATTGCTGATAGAAGTTAGCAAATCTGATGAAGCTTTGTACATCTTTCACAGTATATGAAGCTTCTCACTCAAGAATAGCAGAGATCTTCTCAGAATTCATTTGAATTCTATTACCAGCTTCTATGATAAAATCTAGATATTTTGTACTCTTGACTTTGAAATCATACTTATCAATATCTATCAGTAGTTCTATCTCTTGTAATTGTTATAATACTCTCTACACATATTCTTAATATTTCATTGTAAATTCATCAGTGAAGATGAGAATGTCATTTAGATATGCAGATACAAACTTATCAAGAAAATCTCAGAGTGCTCAGTTAATATACTTCTGAAATATACTGAGAGTGTTAGTCAGTTCAAAGAATGTAACTACTTATTTGAAGAGATTATAATATGTTCAGAATGCTATAAGTCATTCATCTTCTTCAGTGATATGAATCTTATGAAATGTGATAATGACATCTAACTTTATAAATCATTGAGCTTGCCTGATATATGCTAGGATTTTATTGATAAGAGATAAGAGATAATAATCTTTCTTTATCAATCTGTTCAGATCTTGATAGTTCACACAGAATTGAAGTTCTTTATCTGATTTCTTTGTAAAGAGAATAGAAGCTGCAGTGAAAGAGTTACTAATATGTATGAATTTCTTATTTAACAGATTATTAAGTGTCTTCTGAAGAAGAAGAAGTTCATCTTAAGATATATTATAAAGAGAGCCTTATAATAACTCAGAGATCTTATCATTCTTCTTTTCTAACTTGATACTGTGATTCACTTCTGAGTCTTGTAAAGAGAGTATATTCATAATATTATCTTATCAGAAGATATCTAGATATTCATGATATTATTAAGAGAGTTTTATGTAAGAATCTATTATTGTAGTATAGAATAACTTCTCTAGAGCCTTCTTAATATTAGTCAGACTGACAGAATAGATTGATACATAATTCTGCTTAGACTAGCCGCTGAAACTATGAATTTCACATTTGGTCCCATTTGATCTGATCTCATACATTTCTTGGTGTGAATCCCGCTGGGACTAGTCATTAAAAAAATATGTAAAGTGACTATATATCAGATCTTAAAATGAAACCATAACTTGAAAAAAATGAGAAAGTAGTTTCATTTGGTCTCATTTAGTCTTATTCTTGGCATAAAGTTACTATTTTTAGACATTTTCAGGTTTTTTTTAGACTATTTTTAATTTTTTAAAAAGTAATGCTTTTTGGTAATGCTTAAATGAGATTTAAAGTTATTTAAAGCAATAAAAATAATTTAAATTAAGAAGTGAAAATCATGATCTCATTTGAAAAATGTGATAAGAGTAGACAGTAAGTCTCACTGAGACAGTATGAGACTACTATCTAATGTTAAAACCGTGTAATGAGATCAGTCAAATTGGTAATAAAACTATCAAAAAATCTGGTCCTGGTTTCAGACTAGACTGGCCGCCGGGACCATGAATTTCACATTTGATTTCATTTGGTCTGGTCCCATACATTTCTTGGCGTGAATCCCGCTGGGACTGGCTATCAAAAAAACATGTAAAGTGACTATATATCAGATCTTAAAATGGAACCATGACTTGAAAAAAATGAGAAAGTGGTCCCATTTGGTCCCATTTAGTCCCATTCTTGGCATAAAGTTACTATTTTTAGACATTTTAAGGTTTTTTTTAGACTATTTTTAATTTTTTAAAAAGTAACACTTTTTGGTAACACTCAAATGAGATTTAAAGTCATTTAAAGCAATAAAAATAATTTAAATTGAGAAGTGGAAATCATGATCTCATTTGAAAAATGTGACAAGAGTAGACAGTAAGTCCCACTGGAACAGTATGGGACTACTATCTAATGTTAAAACTGTGTAATGGGATCAGTTGAATTGGTAATGGAACTATCAAAAAATCTGGTCCTGGTCCCAGACACGGTCACACGGTCAGTCTATTTCAGACACGGTCACACGGTCAGTCTAATTCTGCTATCAGTGACTTTGTCAGCAGTCTCACTAATAACTTCTTTTTCAAAGCATTTTATAAGTGTTGACAGAGATCTGTGTAAGATCTATAGTCTTATGAATATCATCTTCATGAATTCTATCATTGTTAGAGAATATTAAACTTCTGTTTTAAGTATTCAATAAGATGCTCTGTTCAGATAGCCAGACAAGTTCTAGTATAAAATCATAGTCAAGATTATTAACTTTATATGCATAGACATCTTCATATTAATATTCTTCAATATCTATGTTTAGTTTCATCATGTAATGAATGTGAATGTCTTTTAAATCATTAAATTCTGTGAGAAGTCAGAGTTTTAATAAGAGAATACACTGAAGATTATAACATCTTATGACTGAAGATTTAATTATTATATAATGACATAGATCACTGTCTATCATGACTTTCATATTATACATGTTATTAATCACAGTAGATACAAGAATCATATTTATTATTATTTTCTCTTCAAATTGTTATCATCTGATCTCTTCAAGCTTCTGTTTATAAATTTGAACAGAAGCTAATCTTTTCTCTGTTTCATCAGAATATCTTCATAGTTATCTTCTGAATCTTTCTTCAATGCAATATGATTGACACAGACAGGCATTAATCTGTTCTTTGAATGAGAAGATACTGATCTTTCTCTTAAGTAAGAAGATACATAGACTGATCAGCAGTTGAAAGTAATGTGTTCTGATTAGTTACAATTAATGCACACTTCTTGTTGATGTTGATTGATGACTTCTTCAGAAGTGATTTCAGAAACTCAGAAGCCTGTTTAAATAGCAGAGATTCTTACTTATATGTAGACATTTGAGTCTACTCAATTCATGACATCTGCATCATTGTTGTCATTTCTCAGTGCAGGTGTATAAGTGTAATATCTTCTATCACTGTTCTGCATACTCTTGAGCTTGATAAGATAGTCATTTAATGTCTGAAGTTGTATACAGAAATCTTTATAAGTCTGATCTTCATCTACACTTATAAGAGTCTGTAAGAGTTCAAAAGTTAATGTCTTCTTAAGCATGCTAATCTTCATTCAATTCTCTCAAGATTGATCATCTACTTCTAGAATCTTGATATCAAAGTCAGAAATGAATATTGTGAGAGAAGTATTTCTCTGTCAGATACTCTGTAATCAATCTAATACTTTCTATTATATAACAGTGTCTCAGAACAGAATATCAAGATATTTGATAATATTATCAGATATTTATAACACTGATTCACATGCTTTTATTCATGAATAAAACTTCTGTTTCATGTAATTCTTCAATTATTCATTAATATATTAATCTTGATTAATTAGTGAACTAATGATATCTTCATCTATACTCAGTTTTATGAGCATTTCCATTCTTCATGATAAGTAGAGAGTGAGATTAGAAGTATTGAAATATACAGAAGTATCTAAGTGTTCTTTCAGTGCTTTTATATTCAATTCAGTAGATGTTGAAATTGCATGAGTTTCTTATTGAGTTAATTGTTGAATTTCCTTGTATTGAAGTTATTAAGTTACATGTATATCAGCTATCTATTACTGTTGTAATTTCAACATTACTCAGAGTCACTGTGATATTATATCTATACTCACATTTGAAAGTTATCTTATATTATTATTAGACATGATTATATTAATTGTTAAATATATGATATCTGTGAAAGTGTAATTATATGAATATCTTATATATCTAAGTGTCAGAACTCTCAGGTCTTTCACTAACATTCTCTTATAAAATTTTATTATGAGATCAGAGTGACTGATAAGCAAGCTTCTATCTAAGATCTTAATATTCACTTAACTATTTCTCTTTCTTATATGTTGTTACACATTCAGATATCTCTTAATAAATAATTATTTCTAATGAGAAGATAATATATGAATAATCATTTCTAATAAGAAGATGATAAATGTTTTTCAAGTGTAAGAGGCCTACACTGAATAAATTGATATAATATATAGATCTTATATAACAAAGTGAAAAATGTTAGAGAAGGAAAGAAAGAGAAAGTGTGAGAATCAGTGATTAAAGTGAATATTTATACATGTACATAGTAGTGTACACAGTGGAACTTCAGAGTGAAAGAATAGAGGTTTTTATACATGATAAAGCTTCGGGGCAGAAGAATAGAAATTCTGTAGATTTTCAGCTGAGAATCAGCAACTGAGAGTCGGAGTGGTAGAAATCTGTGAAGTGTAACAGAATAGTCTATATAATTGATCGGGTGCAGCCTGTCACAGAATGTATATTAAATACTAGATATTACAGAGATCTGATATCAGATTGATAGAATTGTAGAATAAATTCTGCTATATATATAATCAGTTTCTTATTATTATTTATAAAATTAATATTCTTCTGTGAAAGGTGTAAAGCTTGTGTGATTGAAAGATTGCTAGCTTGTGAAAAGTTATATGTTGAGAGGATTAGTAAGCCAGATCATGTGACCTGACACCCTCACTCATCAGAGTAACTATACACAATACTATATATAAAATTCGCCTTCAAATCAAGTACAGATATAAAAAATGACTGAAAAATGTGTAGTAATGAAAAATCAGTTATAAGATACATCATTTTTTATCCCTCTATTTCTCTATCTTCTTTATATTCTCTTTTCAATGTGTATATTTCAATGTTTCAAATGATTTAGTAAGCTCATTCACTGTATTCTCAGCAGATGAAACATATCAGATAGATATCTCATTCTTGTGAATGAGATTCTGAAGAATGTGAAAACAGATCTCTATATGCTTTGAGCAGTGTGAAATTGCTTTGAAAGAGAATAGCTCTATGACAGACTTATTATCAGCATGAATTATTTAAGCCAGATCATTGACTGTGATGAGAATGAGATGATCATCAGCATTCAGATTATTGAGATAGAATGAGATGAATTCAGTGTCTTCTAGAAGCTCGCGGAGATAGACAAGCTCATATGCAGTCTCAGAGAATGCAATATATTCAGCCTCTGTTAATGACTTAAAGATCTCTGTTTATCAGTAGCTCCGTTATGCAACAGGGCTATCTGTTATGTAGATGATATAACTGGTGATTGAACAGGATTCTGAATCTCTACCAGCTCAATCGGTATCTGTGTATGCTACAGGTTCAATTTCAGCATCTCTGTGATAGGTTATACTCTCATTGATTGAATTCTGTAGATATCAGAGTGTATACTTATATACAGCCCAGTTCTTTGATATAGGCTGAGAGCTGAATCATTCAAGGAATTCTGCAGTGAAGCTCATATCAGAATATGTATTGAATGCCAGATATTGCAGAGATCTGATACTGAATTGATAGAATTATAGAGTAAATTCTGCTATATATATAATCAATTTCTTATCATCATTTATAAAATTAATATTCTTCTTCATAGAAGTAAATATAGAGTGACAGTCATTTATTAAGAACTTCTTCAGAAGATTTCTTATAAAGAGAAGTTGAAATAATATTAATGAAGTTGAATCTCTATCAATTTTCATTCTCAGATAGTGATTGAAATTCTCTATATTCTTGATCTCATAATTAGCAGCAATTTTAGCTTTAGCCCAGTTCAGATCTTCAATTTTCAGGCTGTAGAGACAGACATTATTTATATAGATAATTATATAGATCTGTCTTTCATCATGAATAAATAGTTCAGTATTATAAAGACTGACACAGAAGTCTGAGTATTATAGCATCTTTCACAGCTTCTTATATCATAAGAGTGCTGCTTGCTTAAGATTATAGAGTCTCTGCATTAACTCACATATAAGATTATCATAATCTTCATGAAATTCTGTGAGTTGATTCATATATATCTGTTCATCAGCAGATAGTTGAGTGTTTAAAAAAGTGATTATTATATCAATCTGCAGAACATATCATTCTCAGAATACTGAGATTATTATAAGAGCTTGTGAGATAAATACAGAGATAATGAGTGCAAAGATTCTTGAGTAATTGACTCTCTTTTATTAAAGATTTCTCCAGATAACTCAGTGAGTCTTACAGTGCATAACCTTACTTATATTATTGAACTTTTTATCAAATACTCATTAACTATGAAGAATACTTATTTATAATATTCTCTCAATCAGTTGTCAGATCTCTATCTGTTTCAAATAGTTAATCTCTTTAACACAGATCTTGTAATAATACTTTCATTTCATGAAAGCTTTGATATGTGTGAGGTTTTTCAGGATTAGAAGTGCAGTAATCTCAGAATCAGTGAGTAAATCTTCAAGACTGTCTCTCACTGAAGCTTTCTCTACTGTAGTGATATTTCTCATAGATATCAGAGAATTATCAGATTTAACTGTGAATTTCAGAGAGTTCAGTGTATTCTGCACTAAAAAGATAGATATTCTCACAGAGATATCATAGTCAATTCATCAATTATTAGTGAGTATGAGAAATAATAAACACTCAGGTTGAATTTCCTCATCAATGAATAGATTATCAATTGATGAATCAGAAATCACTGAAGAAATTGTTGCAGAAATCATTGCAGAAATTGTTGCAGTGAGTAGACCTGATATTGCTGAAGAAATCACTGCAGTCACTTTACAGACTGCATTGAGTAGAATCTTCAGATTGTGTGAAGTAGTCAGTATTAATAAATTGATAAGATGAAGATTCTTCTGAAAGATGACATCTTTTGATATGTATAAACATTCATTGAAGAGATTTATCAATCTATAATTGATAAAATTATTATATCTCATAAAAATCAACTCTTTGAAACAGGAAGCTATCTTATTTATGAGCTTGAAGACTATCTTCAAGAATGCTTTGCAACTTCATTAGCGAATGCTGTGTACAGAAGATAGAGCTTTAAGCCAGGTCTCATATAATGTAATCAGCTTTGTATTTTCAGAGTTCTTATATAATATCATTGAGATTGACATAAGATTAAGCAGCTCTGTGACTGTAATAACTGTCTCATCTCACATCTTTTTCAGAGCTGAAGAGTCTATTAATAGTGATTGAGACTTCTTAATGATTAAACTGATTGATTATTCAGATACTTCATCTTGCTATGAAGTATGAAAGAGAGTCAGCTCTCATTTTATATCTTCACTGAGTATATATACTGTGGCTGCATTTAAATTCAATTCTTTATAATCTGAGTGAATGATTGTAATGCCACATCTCAGCAGATTCTTGATGAATTGATTAAAGATCTGTAGATATCTCAATGTCTCATCCTTGCATTTCAATAGAAATTTTCATCTCATTCAAGTGACATTATCTGTAATCATCATTGTAAGCTTCTTGTCAGCATAAGATGATATATCATTTTCAGTCTCAAGAGTCTCATCATCACTGAATATATTCACTCAAATCTTCAAGGCCTTGCAGATGATATAACATGGTGTGAAATTCTTATAGAAAGTGTATTTCTGTTTAGTCTTAACACATGTGAAACAGAATGATAATTTTTTCAGACTGATAATGATAATACTAAATCACAGATTTTTGGTCATTTTTAATATACTATTTTCACTGATATGATCAAGTTGATAATATCACTCATCTATCAGAAGCTGTTTCAGAAGAACTGCAGATAATTGAGATAGAAATGAGATAATAAAGAAATCAGTATCTGAATTCTTAGAGTTGATTAACTGTTCAATCTTCTCACAGCTGAAAGATCTCAAAGACTCTGTATTCAGATTATAATCTATTGAGATTGTCTTTGATTTCAGAACAGTCATATATGTCACTGCTTCATACATTGAGTCATTCATTATACCATGAAATGTCAGTGAGCTGTTGAATAAAATGTAAATATTATTGTGAGACAGATTGATATAGAAGATATTACTGTTGATAGATAACAGAAACTCAAAGTAGTTCTCAGTATTAACTTGTATATTACAGTGAATATAGCTCTGATGCTTCATAAGTTCAGTGAAGATTAGATTTACAGATAGTTCTGATACATAGTATACATAATTGAATTCTATCAATCTTTCATTCATTAGAATGAATGTAGTGCTGACACTCTGAATCTTCAGAATAATCTTGTTAG